ACTGCTGGTGGAAATGCAGACTGGTGAAACCACTGTGGAAATCAGTTTTATATTCCTCAGCAAACTAGGTCTAGAGCTCCCATTCAACCCAGCTATTCCCCTTCTGGGTATTTTCCCAAAAGATCTAAAATCATATCACAGCAATATATGGGCACCCATGTTCATAGCAGCACAATGTGTAGTTGCTAAATTGTGGAAGCAATCCAAATGTTCATCCACTGAGGACTGGATAAAAAAATTGTGGTACTTTTATATAATGGAATATTACTCAGCTATAAAGAAAGATAAACTTGAGGCTTTTACAGGTAAATGGTCACAACTGGAGACCATACTCGTAAGTGAAATAAACCAGACCACCATGTGTAAGCAAGGTATTGACTCACTAGTGTAAGAACCTAAAGGAGTGAATAAAAATTAGGAAGTATGATAGACATTGTGAAACGAAAGGAAAATGCTCAAAAGTAAAGAGCAGCTGGGGTGTGGGAAAAGAGAAAGGAAAGAAGGGGAAATTATGTATGTATGTATGTATATCCAGGATAGCTAACATAGTTGTACTACTGACTTCTATTGCTTTACTGAAAGGAACAGTTAATGATTACTTATTTGATCAATCTTGCATATCTCTATTTGTTTTCCTGAGAAACCACTTTGAAGATAACACTATGTAATGCAACAACCATTGTTAATTTGCTACCACTTTGTCTGTAACTCTGTATTGTTTGTATTATTCTTATGCTGTTTTGTAAATGGGTGTCTGTTTGTAAATATGTTTTCCTTCTTTTATTTAAAAGAAAAAACACAACTATTGAAAGAAATTATCCATTATCTTGAAGTGTGCACTTGACTGAGTCTGCACTTACATAAGCATTTGAGAAATTTTAAAACATCCTTTTCTTTTAAAAAGAAAATAGAAGAAGGTCAGTGAAATAATGTGGTACATGAATGCAATATTAGGTTTTACAGTAAAAATGTGAAACAGTGGTTCCCATGTGGTAACAGTAATGCTCTCTCCTGAGCTTTCACAATTACCAGACAAAACAACACATGTACAAGTGGGGCAGGAGAGAGAGACGACACTTAATATGTAGCCACACACCTTACAGTTCGGCTCTTCCTGAACACAGAGACACAGTCCTCAAGAACAGCTCAAAACTGGGTAAAAAGAAATGACTTAAGAATTAATTAATTAAAGAGGGGACTGAAGTAAACAAAGCAAAAATTATCATATCAAAATAAAAGACAAGAAACACGATTAAATTAGGCTTCAAAAGACCCATGAGAAACTCAAAAGCTGTAATATGCACTTACCTGGCTTTTATTCTTTCATGATTTAATTTCTAATTTTATTCACTATCATCTGATAATTGCATGGAACACTTATTCTAACCATGGGCAATTTAAACTATTTTAATTCTTATTTGAAGGCCATGAGACAAAGGAACCTATTTATTGCCTAAGGGGATTTTTTAAAATAAAAATTAAAGTTTAATCTTTCATGTTTTAAAGCCAAGACTGTTTAAAATCATTTACAATAATGCTGTAGGGAGACTTTTTCTGGGTATGCAAAATTGAAAAGATAAATTTACAAGTATTAAAAAAATTAATAGTTTGGGGATTAAATTGTCCCTTTCCTTTCTAGATAAATCTGTCTGAAGCGGATGAGACATATTTAAGAACAGGGTGAACCCAAGGCCTGTGAGGAGTGAGAAGATATGGCTTCCATGCGTCTTGCAGCGTGACTGGAGTTCTCATGGCACCCATGGCAAGCTCAGTTTATTATTATTTATAAAACAAATAATGCACTGGCCTTGGGAATGGCTTCTGACTTTTTTTTTAAAAATTTCATAGGGAATGTCTCTGATGAAGTAAAGAATCATGAATTCTCTAACCACACTTTGTGTGACTTTGAAAAAGTCCCTGATGGAGATGAGACAAATTTACTTTCACTAAGATTTTTTTACTTACACTTAAGAAAACTAATTGAAATATAGTTTTGAATTGTTTCTGATACAACATGTCAGGATTCTACTGAAATACTTTTAGCCATTATGCAAAGTGTTTCCAACAAAAAAGAGAAAAATCACTTTCCATGACACCTGAGGCAGCAGAGCCTACCGAAGGGCAGAATGCCTCTCTAAGACTAAGGGGCGGACAAGTTGCTAATGAGGGTTTTTGACTAGAGCAGGAAGAAGGAAAATGTTTCTCCAAATACATTTTCTCTTTCACTGTGGTCTCAGGAAAACAAAAAGGAATAGTCAAATGTGTTTAAAATTCCCCCTGGCAAACACTCAAGCCATCCTCCTAGGCTGAGTACTTCACATTTCAAGAAGGTTGCAACAAATTTGCGATCCTCATCATACCGATGGAAAGGCTGTGAGCCCACTAACTACTTCACTTTCATTTCCCTCTCCTCCCTCCTCCCTCTGTGCAGCACCGCGGTTTTCCTGTTAGACTACCTCCGTGCCAAGCTGCTCCGCCTCACTGCTGTATCTGCTCTGTCTGAAGACTCCTTATGGATCCATTCACTCAATTTGGGTTTTTGCTCAAATGTCACTTTTTGAGAGAAGCGCGTATCTTTTAATCCTTCACTTCTCCACCTTCTGTGTGAGCCTCTTACTAGCCTTATCTTCCACATATATCACACACATATCTTCTTATCATCTGACTTCTCCCGAGAGACCGAAACACTCACTGCCATGTCCCAGCACTAGGAGAGTGCCTGATGCTGTACAAACACGTTATAGATACTATTTATTGAATTACGTTACCTGCATGGATCAGCTCCATTTGCTTTTGTACTGGCTTCTTAAACTCACAAGTGTGACTAAGAATACAATAAAATTCATGCATCATACGTTGTGCTATTTTATTGTAATTATTTCAGAGTCCTCATATGGGAGAAAAAAATCCTATTTAAGTAAGTACTTTGCAATTTGACTTATAAACAGATGAATCAGAGGTCACATTTTTAGTTTGTGTTTAAGGAAAATTACCATTATTTTTTCAGAAGGAAATTAATCATGTTAAAATGTTTATTTCTCAAAAGATGTTGTTAAAAGATTTATTTAAATAAATATTTTGCATTAAAGCTATAGGTTAATTTCTTGAAAAAAATCAACTTCCTTCAAAAAAATCAACTTGAAGTTGATTTTTCAGGAATAATGTTTATTGTATATAATGAGGCCCATGCATAGTAATTTTTAAAATATTGTATAGACTGAAGTCACTACATATGTGCTGTAGCAATGAGATTTCACACAATCCACCAGATACTTCTAAACATCTCTTGTGTTTCTCATTCCATAATACACAGAGGGTAAAATGTTTTAGATGTAGTGCTATATAAAGAGACTCAGGTTGAGTATCATGGGCTTAAGCATGTCCCAAGTCTTCAGAAAGCTCATCTGTAGCGTGCTGTCACTTTTCTTTCTTTTTTTTTTTTTTCTGAAAGAAACCCTGCAGTATTACATTCAGTTTGTCAACACTTCGCTAACCCTTTGAGCACAGCTGATAGAGGGTCATGGGATTTTCAAAGTTAGAAGGAAACTTGAAGACTGTCCTTCATGTAACAGAGAAGAAGATGAGATCACCTATCAACATCTAGAAAAGTCAAACAAAATCCAGTGGAACATTCTGCCTTTTCATTTTTTTTAAAGAAAACAAATCATAGTATCTAAGCAACAATACTATATCTGAATTATATGAAAAGAAAAGTGGCTTTTGCTTTTGAATAAGGCTACAGATTTCTGAGGAAGAGAGAGTTTGAGTACACAGCCCAGAAGCTGACCCCAAATGAACAACAAAGACGTTCCTCGCCAATCATGGATTTAAAACCAGATGTCAAGGACGGACCTGGTGTGAAACCAAACACTGGAATGATTAAGGATTTTGAGATTTTAACCTTTTCTTGGTTGGGGGAAGATAGGACAAAAAAGCAGGAGTGACAGACAACTTAAAGAGGACTGAAGGACAACGGAGACATTTAAGAAACAAAGTCAGTATGTGGGAATCACGAGCATAGTGGAGTCCCTCACTGAAAACTTTTCTCATTTTCTCATTAGAAAGTAAACCACATTCACCTGCTGTTCCTCAGGAGAACTAAGAAATGTAATAACCCAGACGTCCACTGCAAGTTGCCTGGCTGTGCGGTTAGACACACCTCACCTTGCTCTCGGCGTGTGGGTGCGCGAGGCCCCAGGCGGAGCGTCAGCCTCGCTGCATGTGTGCGGGTGACCGCAGCACCTGCTACTCACCGGGACTCGTGAGGGCTCCCAGGGCGCTGCTCGTGGTGGAGAGAGGGTTTGCATTGGTGCTGGTGGCGGAGGTCTGGGCGGCAGCGGCAGCAGCAGCCAGTGTTGCCAGATTCTGTAACTGTAAAGCATTCATGCCTGTACAAGGACAAGAAACGTACCATTAGCAAAAGGCCCAACATTCCCAGTTTTTGAAGAGTGGGTTCACAAAATCAAGGCAGATGACAAGAACAGCAGGCCCCCTGCACCATGCTTGGATGGTCATGCTCACTGGAGCTGGTCCCTCCGGTCTCTTCTCAGTGGGTACCACCTTCAGCTGTTTATAATCCATCTTCTGCGGCTGGAGAGTAGGTATGGAAAGGGCACCTACATTCCAGCCAGTGATTCTCCTCAGCAGAGTCAACTCACTTTGGCACTGCCGAGCCAAAGACCCTCGTCCACTGCTCCTCTCTACGCTGTAAAGGGAATCAGAAAAGACGAGGCTGCTCTGTACTGACGGGCCGCAGTGGGGCCTCGTGAACTGGCGACTTCTATGGTGTAGCTGTCAAGAAATGCTATGACCCGGGGTTGGACAACCCAAGGGAGAGCTTTGGGTTAACTTTCCATCCATAAGCTCCCGACTAGTACATATGTAAGGTATTACAGAGGAGGCTACGGTGTACCCTTGGAAGCTGAACTGGTAAGAGTTTTAATCCTGGCTCTACCTGTCCACACACAGCACTCAAGCTCTCTAACCTTGATTAGTGAGGGGCCACATTCCCTGTACCTGACCTTTGAGAGCTGTTGTGCAAATAAGGTAAAGAATGCAAACTACTCTGGGAATAATATAAGCACATGATGAACATCAGCTATTATTATTGACATTGAACTCTTCATATTTTAAATGTAAACTTAAATGTGTCTGGGTTTGGAACTAAGTATATGATGAATAAAATGGTAGTACATTGATAGCTTTATTTGTAATATATCTGTATTTGCATTTTAAAGGAACTAGTATTTTAAAACTGGTCTTTTTTAACTAGAATGAATCTGACTAGTAAAAATTAAGCAAAATTAATGAGATGAACATGCAGGAACATGAGGGCGGCTCAGAGGAGAGATCTGAGGCGGTGATCTAAGGCTGGGCCTGGAGTATGTGCTGCATGCACTTCTGACATCTTTCTTCCTCCCCTTCTGTTTCTGATACCACAGGAATAGTCAAAGTACTTTTCATGGTTTGCTTCAAAGTAAGAGAACACACATGTGTAAAGCAGGAAATAGTGTTTCTCTCCTTATATAGAAGAATTCTATACAGAAAGATACTGGACTTAAATAATCGGTTTAATTTTACCTTTTCATGCTTTAGATTCAGATAGCTAATACGTTTCTATTGAAAAGCTTCATCTGCTTTAGGGAGAGTGGCTTGGTAACTGCTTCCATATGCACTGGGGGAAGTAGCTAGAGGGATAGGTTCCAGCGACATACACAAGCGAGCTCCAGCCACTGGCAGGGGGCCCTCAGAAAACATGGCTCATGGCTGCTGAGTTCTACAGAGAGCACTTCTCCCACTCTGCTGCCCTGGCCTTTGCTACCAGGAAAGGCTTTTTTCTGCTCAGAAAAGAGTTCCTGATGTCTTTCTGCAAAATGTGTTTTCATTTTGTTCAAAATGATACTCTTATCTTCTTCCAGGAGACACCTAGATCTGTTGGCTTAGGGTAAAATCCACTTATTTGGTGAGGATGATTAGAAGCAGGGCACAAATATTTGTTGAATCCTGTGAAGTTCTGTAAGGAAAGTACAGGCTTGCAATGCTGTTTTGTCAACCAAATGCAACTAGGAACAAAGATCTCTCTTGTATTCTCTAATAAAGGGTCAAACAGTGTCATACATATTTATGAAAATGTGGGTATTATACATATTGGGTTTATTTTTCAGTTCTACTTTAGCAAAATGGAAATGGAAGGGAAATGGCAGCTGCCTAGCTTTAGTGCAGATTGGTTTGGACCTATCGAGGGGCTCCTGACAGCAATACAAATGCACTTCACACTCGTGTGCGACAACAGCACCCAGGCGGTGAGGGATCCTGTGAGAAGTGGAGGCACACTTGTGTGGATCCATCTGTCCCCTCTTGTGACTAATGTTCCTTCTAGTGTTTTAATGATACAAACCAGATGACTAGACTACATCGCCAACAGACAGCAAGGCATACAAGATGATATAGCGCTGAAATTCCACCTATACCACGCACCTGTCACCAATCAGTCACAGGCACTCATCCTTCTCGTCTGAGACAGAGCTTCTCTCCAGGTAGGAGCTACGGTATTGGAATCGCAGGCGAGGAGGGGCTGCGCTGGTGGCTTGGGTTAGCCCATCCAACTGAGCTGGAGACACCAAGTCTTTGCCCGAGGCCTCACAGCACTGGCATCAAGCCCTTCTGAGTCTGGGGCCAGTGTGTTCTGCCATACTCACGGCCTCCCGCCAAAGACCGCTCACAGCGTGGATTCAGTGGGCGTGCCTTCTGTATGGCGTCCACTAAATCTTGTGGAACTCTCATTCTACTTTGACTCTATCTCTATGTATTTCTTAGCCTCGTTACTGAATGCTAAGTTCCTGGAGGAAAAAGATTTTATTTTACTAATATTTGAGTCTACCTAAACACACACACACAACACACACTCACTCACTCTGAATACATGGTAGATGGTGGATGTGTTGGTGAGATGAATAAATAGGGTAACAATACAAAATTTTAATAGTTTTGTCTGTATAGCCAACCAAAGTTTTAGTGTTTTCCATTCTTTGTATGTTTTTTTGGCAGACCACAGCATCACATATCAACCGCTTTTCCTAAATCATTGATTAATCTAATTCCTTGCTTAATGATCCAATTAAGTTCCTGTGAGTAGGTCGTTAAATGGTCAAAGGAAACTCCCAACTTGATGACTTTGCTTTTTTATTTGTATAACTCTTACATGCAGAATTGCAACGTACAACAGAATGTAAAACTACAATATTGTTCAGCACAATTCAACAGAAATTACATCACTGTATAAACAAGGTATATGGTACCCAAAAAAGACAGTGACACTCTATAAACCAGATGTACAGAACTACACACAAACACACACACACACAGACACAGAGGTACTAAGTCCAAGTGGCAGACGCTAAGTCCAAACAGCGTGCCTTGGGTGTAAGTCTGAACAGTCATTAATAAGCAGATAGGCTGTTAAATGAGGAGTATCTGCAAGTAGCTATTGGAACCATATTTATTATTTACCTCACCCACTGACACTCATTAAAGGCCCTGGAGCCAAGTCAACAGCAGTGGAAACTAACTTGCTCCCTGCCTTTGCCCGGGAGTGGTCCTATTAACCTCCAGTACCCGGTGCACAGATGCAGGTTGTCAGGTGAGGCGTTTTAGTCCACCGTCACCGAACATAAGTCTTGCTTAGTTGAAACGGCAGGCCTGAGAGGCAGCATTTTACTATATTGCTCTCTGCTGGCTTTATGGTGTCTGAAATTGAGGGACTAAACTTGTGCTCTTGTTTAATCAGTTGCTAAGAACTGAGTCAACCAGTTACTACTTTGCACCGGTCAGTAACCTTTGTAAGTATGCGCTACTTCTGGCTTGCTAAGTCACTTAACCAGTTTTTTAACTGCTTAATGTGAGCCCCTGTGCATCCGCTGTCAGACTCGCGCACACCGTGGAACACTGGTTTCAGCTCTCTCCGTGGACAGGCGGACTCAGGACTGCTCTTGTCCATTGCACGCTGCTGCCCCCGCCCCGGTACATCTGGAGCCCACCGACGGGATTCACTGGCCTCTGGGCCTCCGAAAGCTTAGGAGAAAGTGTGTGTGAACCTTTTTTACTGGTGATAGCCTCATGTCTTAGTCACTTTTTTGCCACTGGGACAAAATACCCTACACCCACAACTTTAGGGAGGAAGAATGTATTTTGGTTCACGATTCTTAGAGGGTTCAGTGTATAGTTGGCTGGCTCCAAGGTAGGGACAGCCTGGGGGGAGGACCTAAGCGGAGGTAAGCTGCCCCCTCTAGGGTAACCAGCAAGCAGAGAGAAGGGAAGGGCTGGGGACAGAGACAGGCGCTTTCAGTCACCCCCGGCACCTCCAGCCGACCCCAGCTCCTAACAGCTGCTCAACTCGGAATGGGCCGGTCCACCGATGAGACCCCGTCTCCCTCCACACGCGTGACACTTTGGGAAACATTTCAGATCTGAACCATAACACCCTGACAGTTAAAACTCCTGACTTAGGTAGCTAACTACCAAGTTACAAGTCCTTATAGGAAAACACTGTGTGATGTGAGGAACAGAGAAGAAATTAGAGCTGAGGAATGATGACGCAGGTAAGAGAAGAAAGAAGAAAAGAAATGACTCCTCCCACTCAGCACAGAGACACACACACAAGCAGCGGGGCAGCTGGGAGGTCCGGATGAGCACCTGGGCCCCGGCAGGGCCTGCTCCCGCTCTCCCACAGTGTCGCTGCATCCTGGGCGGGGTTGCAGGGCAGCGAGGGTGCCTGCTCCCTCCGCCCCGAGTCCTTCTCCCAGGCAGAGGCCTGAAGCCTGCCCGGGGACACTCCTTCACTAGCCCTGGCCTTCTACATGCTGCTGGTGTCGTGGGCTCTCTTCTGTCACAGAAATGATTCTGGGACGAGCGTAAAGAGCTGGGGAAGTCTGCGGACAGTGTTTCTCAGCTCTTCACTGGCGAAAGCACACTTCCCTGGTGACTGGCATTTTTGGCTCTTTCTGCCACAAATGTACTGACAGCCAGGGAACCCTCACCCTTGCCTGGAATAAGCTCACAGCACTTCTTACCCCCTCAACAATCCCTCCCTAGGGCGCAAGCTGTCTGGGGAACGGTACCAAGCCAAGTAAGGGGACAACGTGGGGCACCGGGTGAGGACAGGCTCCTACCCAGAGCTTCACTCTGTCTTCCCACACCCTGCTCTTCCGGAACCCCAGCTGCTGGCAGAACTAGTTTCATCAACACTGCAGTTCTTCCCAAGGGCCAAGTCCGCGAGGGGCTGCGTGGCGGTCTCAGGGCGGGTTCCTGCTTCCTTTGCTCATTGGAATTCGTACTTCTGGCCCGTTTGCTTCTTTGGGGTATGGGTGCGCCCTGTCTTTCCCCTCTTTCT